TCCCACCAGCATCTGGAATCAGAGACAATACAGTCCCCAACTGTGTGGAACCTGTTACCCCTGAAATTCAGCTCATTTATTCTCTCTTTGCTTTAAAAACTCGCTTCCCTCCTCCCTACAGACATCTTTGAATGACTGCTGTTTCTCTCTGTTGGCATAGCATATTTTTGCTTATCCATCTGTTTTGAAGTTTTGATGAGGTTTAGTTTTTCAGTCAAAAAAAAAAAAAAGAGATTGTTTTTATAATAGCTGCTTAGTGCCTGGAATATTTTGGCAGGGGTGGTGTTGTATGAGTGAAGTGGGTTAGTGTTTCTCAGAAGTGCTGGATTTGGTCTCCAGTTCTTGTGCTTTGGGAGAGCAGGCTGGACAGGCTCCAGAGCAGCCAGAAGTGGATGCTGTGCTCAAGGTGGTGGTCCTTGAGGGGGCAGAACCTCATCAGTTGCACTGGAGACCCCCGAAGAGCTTTTATTTTGGATCTCATTTTCCCACCCGAATCCTGAGGTAGAAAAGTTCTGCTCTTCAGGTCCAAAGGTCATGGTTTTACTTCTTTGCTTCGCTTCTGCAGGATGGAAGATCCTATTCCTTTTTCAGAGGTATTCTAGCTGCATTTGGGTTTAATTGATGTTGTTGTTGTTGTCGTCTGTTTTTTAAAACAATTTGTAGAGAAAAGATGGACTTCTAGCTTGGTGCTGTCCCTGTGGCTGAGGTGTCTGATCTGGTGCTGGGCCTTTGCACTCTGAAAACGTGGCCTGTGGTGCTGGACCCTCTGTGTGTTCTGGCTCAGTCTGGCTGTGGCTGTCGGTGCAGCAGCGAGCAGAGGCACTGGCACCATGTGGCTCAGCCTGGCTCTGCTCGCCCTTCCCCCTTGCCAACCTGCTATTTCTGCGCTTCACTGGAAGAAGCTAAAACTGCTGGATTTCTGCCTGCAGTCAGGGCATTCCTCAAGTTCCTAATCCGGGCTCCAGGCGGTTAAGTTACCCATCCTGGCACACAGGAACGAGTCATTACGGTGAAAGGTGTAAAACCCCGCAGCAGCCCCTCACGGTGGGACTCTCCGGGACGGAGAAGTTACCTGCTCACCTGCCCGCGGGCAGCACCGGGCTGGGACCGGCGCAGGGGCTGCCCGGCGCTGGGCACGGCCGATCCCCGTGGGTCGGCCCGGGGGAGGCGGTGCAGGGACCCCGGGACCGCTCCCCCCGGGCTCCTCCTGGGGCCGCCCAGCCGCATCCTCGGACGTGCCGCAGCTGCGGGCTCTGCCTCCCGGAGCCCCCGGGGGCTCCCCCGCGCCGGGAAGGGCGGCCCCCCGTCCCCGGGCGATGGCTCGGGGGAGGCGCCCGCCGTGCCCGGGCCGGGGGCACCGCCCGGCCGCAGGGGCGGGCGGCGGGAGGCGGGGAGGGGTCAGTGCCCCGGCCGGAGCGCGGCCGCCGGGATGATGCCGCCCGCCGGCGCTGCCCGCGCTAATTGGATGTTCCCTGGATGGAGGATTTCCTCCCCTGCCGGCTGCAGGAGTCATGAAGGCAGGCTCGGCTGCGCTTGAAAGTTTGCCAAGCAGCAGCTAGGTTTAATTTCTTTAAGGATCTGGGGAGAAAGGGGGGGGCGGGGGCTGGAGGGGGACCGTTTCCAAGCATGGGAGACAGGCTGCCGGAGCCTCACGCCAGCTCTTCCCCTGCTGTGGCTGCCAGCGCGGAGGCGGAAGAAATCGAGGTGCTGGACTCCGAGGATGTCCTACCTATGGCCGCGGAGGATGTAAGTTTGCTTCGCTCGGTGTCTTCCCCTCTGTTCCCGGGCCGGGTTAATCGGCTCAGGCTATTCATAGCTGCATCCCGGGATGGGGGCACGAGCGGGGCTGGTGACCCTGCGGGGCTTGGGAAAGCCGCCGTCCCCGCCGCCCTCCCGCCGCCGCTGTCCGCGGGCTCCGGCAGCCGTCGGGCCGGCTCCGGCCCCGGGGCCGCCGCTGCCGCCCCTCCCTGCCCTGGGGGCCCGGGCAGGCGGCCGGTCCGCCTGGGGCCCGCGATCGCCGCGGAGATGCTGCGGCTGCCGGGCACGGGCAGAGGGCTGCGCGCCGAGGCGACCCTGGAGCCCGGAGAGAGGCTGACGCCCTGGCTCCAGGGGTTTCCAGGGCACCGAGAGCTTCTCCGAGTCCCGGCCACCCGGACGGTGACAGATGCGAAACGCTCCCGCTCTCGGGAGCTGCTCCCTCTTCCAGCCCCCGAGCAGCAAACAGCCGAGGAAGTTTTTTCCCCGGCTCGGCGGAGCTGATGGCTTCCCTCCACCCTCCGAGCTCTGGTTGCACCTGAGAGTGGGATAACTTGGCACCGGGGCTCTGCCTCTGCTCAGCCGGCGCAGAAGGACACCGAGTCTGCTCCTGCCGGGCAGAGACTGCAGAGCTGAGGCGATTGTTCTGCGCCTGCCGGTCCCGGAGGCAGGAGCTCGCTGTGCACCTGTCTGGGAGGGAGCGAACGGGAGAGATCCTGCATTCCTGGTGCATCCCAGGAGTGCTCACAGCTCTCCTTCCCAGCAAACTCGGCTGGGATGAGGACTGCAAAGTGTCTGCTCAGTCTGCAGCGGTAAGCGCAGGGTCTGCTCCTGCCGATGAGACATGAACAGAGACACTAAACATCTTTCCGAAGCGGGCTCTGGTCTTGCACCGCTGCGAGAGGGACACTTGGGAGCTGAGCCTCCAGCAATGGCGCATCCCCTTTGCTCTCTACTTTCTGACGCTGCTGGAGGAGCCCGCCCGGGGATGTTTAGGGACGGAGCCCGCTCCTCATGCCCCAGCCCTTCCTTCTGAGTCACCTACAATTCGGTTGCTGTTGGATTTTCCCCCCAGAGGGTAGCGGAGGAAGTGCAGTTGCTCGGTAGAGCTGCATTCCCCGGGCTGCATCCCTGAGCAGTGTGCAGTCAGGAGGGAACGTGTGATGCAGTTTGACCTCTGCCAGACAGTCCTAGGAGGAGATGCCTGATCCAGGGGTATGTGTAGCTGTGACTTGGAAAGGGTGACTTTCCAGGAGCTTTCACACGCCAGGTTTCCAAGTCCCAGCTCTTGCTTACATCAGGCTGTGACCTTTTCTTCTCTGACAAATTCTGTGCTTGTCTGCATGGTCCTCCAAGAAAGATTTTCTGTTGTGGCACACATGGGCCCCTTGGAGTCCCTCCAGCCTCCACATGAGCGCAGCCATCAGCAATTCCATCCTGCCAGGGAGCCAGGAGATGCTGAGGTGCTGAGTGCCTGGCAGGATTGGGCTCCTGGGACAGTCTCGATTCTCATCCCAGTTGTGCTGGTGCTTTGCTGCTCGACCTTGAGGTAGGACAGCCCGGGTCATCCTCAGCTCGCAGAGTCACCGTTACTGGTGTGGGATCTGCACTGTTATCTGAGCCTGGTACCTTGTTTTCTGTCATCAACAAAGCAGCCCCAGAGCTGCAGTTGCAGTGGTTACAGGAAGCTGCTGAGACCTGGCAGTGGATGATGTGACAGAAGCCTGAGGTATCATGTATCATCTGCAAGTCGGAAGAGCAGGAAGTGGTGTAAATGCCCTCCTTCTCCTCGGCCAAGATTTCCTGCTGAAACAGGCAGGCTACAGAGCATCATCTCTGAGAATTCCAACTGCTCTGCCCCCCTGGGACCTCACTGGGAGCTGATTTTCTTGTTGTTATTACATCTGAAAGCTTGATGGGAGCTCTCTGGCTTGGCCAGCAAGAACTGACACGGGGTCAGGTTTTATGTGTTATTAACCACAGAAACATTAGGTAGTGGAGGTTTGGCTGCCACAAGCATTGGCAGGGTGTAACAGCTCAGCTGTGATGTCATTGCAGCTCTCAGAGCAGCCTTTCACAAAGCCAGGATCCAGGCAGTCCCAAAATGCTCTGTTTAAAGTGCTGGGCTGATTTATGATGATAAATGGGAGTTTGTAAATGGAGGGAGACACAAGGAGGAGGGGAGCCAACAACTTAACTAATGGAAAGGAATTCGGTGGCCTGATATCCCAGTGTCTCTCCAGTCAATTCTGCTTTAGATCTGCCTGCCATGTGAAAGGAAATGTTCTTCCAGGACTAGATAAGACTCTCACCAGAGTTCTGCTTTGCCTACAGCACAGTGAGATTTGCTTCTGTGAGTCTGACGTTTGTGATTTTACTCAATTTGCTTTTATGGGGCAGTGAATGAGGCAGAAACAAAATGTTGTGCTGAACAGCACCTCAGACAGCAGAGCTGGAAATGGGCAAGGTGTTTTCTGCAGATCCCAAACCAGTGGTTACCCCAGTGTTACCCTATGGAAGTTGCTGTCTTCTGAACTGGTCCCTAAATCCAGGAGAGATGAGAGAGCCTTGCACAGTTCATTAGGAATGTCCTCTGTTCCATGGGACTCTGAGGCAGCAAGTCTGGGTTAGGGAGGTGAGTTGACATCAGTCTTTCTACAAAACATAAATCAGAGCCAATCTCCAGCTGGTTTTGTCTGTTCCCAAGTGACAAGGACTTGTGGAGTGTTCACATGGTTGTGAGTGTTGGAGCTTCCTCCTATACAGCATTTTTAAGGTGTGGGATAAATCCCTATAATGGGCTCTCTCCAGCCTTCCACCCTCCCACCTTGCACAGGAGGAATTCCCTGTTTTCCAAATGTGGACATGTGAGGTTCAGAAAACTGGTGGGCTCTTAAAGACCCTGCCAGAGTCAGGGCCAGGCAGCAGACAGGGCTCTGAGTGCCCAGCAAGGCAATCGAGGGGTCAGTGCTGGGCCACAGCATCTCAGAAAGTGATCTGAAAAACCATTGCTAATTCCCCCCTCCCTCAATACACAGCAAGCTTTCTTGATCCCTGGGAGTAAAAAAGCCTTTTATTCCTTGCTTGCCTGCAAGCAGACAAAGAGGGAGAAAACAGAATTAACACATGAATGTTCTGAGTTCATCCTAATTTGGATTTGTAAATGAAAACTGTCCTCCCTGTGTTTGGTAGATTCCCCCTGCCTCCTCCCCCGGAAGGGTAGGTGATTCTGGGATGAAGAAGGATGCTGGAAATGGCATTAAATCATCTGGCTATTCCTCTGTTAGAATGTACTTCTACAGTTGACTGCATGTTAATGTCGTTGCTCTTATACCTTCTTTTTCTTCTTTTTCCTCCCTCATGCATTGCCTCTCAGCACTGGAAAGCCCTGTTTGATCAGGTATGTGAACATCTGCTATATTGTCTGTGTCTCGTGAGCAGGGAGCCTTCACTCCAGTGCGTGTCCTCTGTGCTGGCTTCTCCCTGCATTTAGAGCACAGCCTGGGAGGAGACCTGCTCCCTGCTCCCCCAGGATGCTGATGTGCAAACCATAATCATCACCACTGCTTTGGGCCTTTCTCTCAGCCCCTCTGCAGAGCAGCTGGGGACAGGAGTGAGCCCATCCCCGATGGCACAGGGGCTGGGCTGAGGTGCTGCAGCAGGTGCTCTGTGTGCTGCCAGTCGTGCTGTGCTTGCCTGTGCGTTAGGGGATGTTCCAGTCTTGCAGGCAGGCACACCAGGACCTGTAAAACCAGCGCTGTGCTCTTTGAAATGGCTCCTCTGCTGCTGAACTGACTTGGGTGGGGTTTCATCCTGGGGGAGCACCTGCTGCTTGAAACTATTAGCAAAGAATTAGCAAAGTATCTGCTCCTGTACCAAGACTGTGGCTGTGTCGTGTTAAATACCTTGGGTCAGACCTGTAGCTGGTTGAGATCAGTCCAGCTCTGTAGGGCTCTGAGTTAGAGCTGCAGAGATTTTGGGTGGTGGGCTGGAGTTTGTAAATGATGCTGTCAGCTGCTTTAACGGACACGTTTGCTTTGTGGCATTCCCTCCCGTGCCAGGTTGAAATGTGAAGCACTATAAACTGGAGGATTTTTCTAGGGTTGACTGGCTTCTAAACTGCAGCCCCTTCTTGCTGTCATAAACTTCTGTGCAGTTGTGTGTGCGTGTAAATGTCACCTTCTGTGAGGGAGCTTGCTCTGACTGCCAATAAAGTTGGGATGGGATTTCATCCCTGCTTTATGAGGCGCTAATCTCGCCTCTGTGTCTGGCCCAACTGCAGAGCCAAAGCTGTGGTGCAGTGTGTGCAGGGATGTCCTTGGTGCCCTGGGGGTCCCGTTATCACCCAGTGAGTGCTGCTTTACACCTGATAGTGTGCCCTGCTCCACTGCCTGTACTGCAGCACCGCGGCTGTGGCACAGTCAGTGGTGGGTGGGAGCTGGGGAACACTGATGGTCACACCTGAACTGTGTGGTGTGCTGGAATTTCCCGGGGCTGTTGGGGTTTGCTGCCACTCACAAGGTGGATGCAACAGTGAATTGCTTGTCGTCTGGGCTGCAGGTTTGTTCCAGCCACGTTGAGTTCTCCTGTCTCCAATGCTGGCCCTAATTTGGAGGCTGATTCTACAGGCACCCTTTGAAGTCACTGAGCCCTTGTGGGATGGGGTTGTTGGCTGGTAGCTACCTCAGGCTCAAAGAGAGGAATCTCTAATTTCCCATTGGACTTGCTTGAATAGTAGATGGGGGTTTTCCTTCTTTTTTCCTCTTTTTAAGGGAAGGGAGAGTTTGACTGTTGGGTTTACAGAACATTAGCCCAGTGACAATGGAACTGGCTGTAAAGGCAGACCTCCAGTAATTAGCTACGTTTCAATTAGGGCTGCAGCTGAATTTTAAACCTTGTCTGTAAGGCTTTATTATCAAAGAGAATGCAACCTGTGACAAGCAGTCCTAAGTCCTGAATAAATCAACGTTGTCCTTGTTGCCCCTGGGCAAAGCTGACGTCTTCCTGGAGCATTCCATCAGCAGAGCAGTGCAATTAGTCCTGCAGTGCAGTGCACCATGCCGTTTGTCAGGGAACAAAGTTGCCATCCCCAGCAGCAATGTGCTGGTAGGAACACTTTGTTTGGCTCTGATTGGCACCCATGTGAAACACGAGGACAGGCTTAATAACTGGAGGAAGCCTGGCTGTTGATACTGGGAACAGCTGCAGCCCTCCCTGCGAGCTGGGCCTGGCTGTGTGTGAGCCTGCAGTGGGAATGTGCCGTGGAACGTGTGTGTGACTCCTGGGCTGGGACCGAGGTCTGAGAGCCACCCTCTTGGCTGGGGCACATGGGGCTGTGTTCATCACCTCCCAGGGCAGCAGCAGAGCAAGAGGAGGATCTGGAGAAAGTCTTGGAGCAGTTGGGAATTCACAGGCTGGGACTCTGCAAGTGCCTTGTTGCTGTCATAGTCTGTCACCCCAGAAAACAGTGTCAGGGAGAGGTCAGCACACCCTCCCCAGCCTTGGAGTGGGGAAGAAATTATTATTAATGCTTGCTTGCTTTTTTTTTTTCCCCCTGTGGGGAGATATTTAAAAAAAACTTTAATGACCAAAAAAAAAGCAGCAGGTTTCCATACATACAAAATTAAAGGGTTTGGTTTTTTAATGTCACCCCCCCTCCCAACATCTTATTTAAAAATTCAGTACTTTTTGATGGAAATTGCTGCTCAGCCATAAAGCAGTACTTTTTCTTTGGTTATTTTGGGGGAGAGGAGACACTGACCATGCTTTTTAGAGGAATTTTTTATTTGTTTGGATCCAGTTCTAATCTGTCACACTGGGAACTGTCAGTGGCTCAAGCCAAGATCTTCAGCCACTTGCAGATTCTCTTTAAGAAGTAAAAAAGGATTACATTTGACAAAAACCTCAGCCCCAGAACTGCTTCCTATGCTTTGAGGTTCAAAGAAGCCCCTTCCAGGGCAAAATCCTGACTACACTGAAGCAAGTCCCAAAATTCCTCCTGCATTTAGTGGGGTCAGCACTTCAGCTGAGGGTTTGGGAGCAGCAGCCTGGCAGCTTTGCTGCAGCCAGACGGTTCCAGCTCAGCTGCTGCTCCATCCTGTGCTCGCAGGATGTGGGTTTGATGACGAGGCCGTGGCCCTCGGGCAGCTCTAACTCACTTTTATAAGGAGACTTTTATAGGGATTCATACATTTATTTATTGTGCTCATAAACACCCTCCACCCCCACACACACATCTGCTGCCTTCTGCAGAGCCTGCGCCAGCCCTGCGTGCTCCTCGCTGGCTCCTGTGGAACCTGAGCCCTGAGCAGAGCCAGGCATTGCTGCTCCAGCCCTCTGCAGTCACCTGGGGCTTTCTTCATTTGTTCTTCGCTGGCCAAACCCCCAGTTTTCAGTTAATCATCTGGTAGAGGTACAAATGTGACAGTCCCAGGAGCAGGGCCGGGTGGTTTCACACTTGTCTGTGCTATAAAGATCCCTGTTAATTGCCGTGCACGGATGTGGGAGCATCTCCCTGTCCTTGCTGAAGCCAAGTTCATGGCTAGAGAGAAAGCCTGCAGATGAGTCTCCTGAGGGGCAGTTCCAGCTCTGCTGTGTCCTTTGCAGGGCCTCAGTGCCCTTCTTTCCTCCGTGTCCCCAGTGCCCCTGTCCTGCTTTAGCCATGGCTACAGCTGATTGGAATTCCCCATTCCTTGGCTGTGCTGGGGAAAGGGCTGTCCAGGAGGGTGATCTTTGTTCTTAGGACAGACCTGCCTGCTGAAAGTGGTTCTCAGCCCTGTTCAGTGCCAAGAGCTTGTATCATCCTCTCTGTTTCCCCTTCCCCATGGCTGCTGAGATTTCAAGGGTGAATTAACATTATCAGCCCTCTTCTTGGAGTTCTCACTTCTCACCCATACCCTGGTTTGTAGTCATGACAACAAACTTGTTTTAAATAGACACACACAAAACTCTCCAAAAAGACCCTCCTCACTGGCTCACCACCTTGATCCTATTGCTTGTCAATCCAGGCTGTGTTTTGTTGCAGCTGCTTTAGAAATCCAAGATTCCTTCCTGAGACTTGTACGTGGGTGTGATGGCAACAGATGAACAGAATTTATGGGGAATGCAGAGAGATGCCAAGTTACCCAGTCTGTGTGGGCAGCTAATGGAAAACTTGAGCTCAGAAACAAGGCTGGAGAGATATGCACTTGCCAGGAAGAGTTCAGTTGCTGACACTACCAGCAGTGGGTGCAGCTGAACCTGCTCTGCCATGCTCTCATAAAACATTAAAATATGCTTTCAAATATGCTGACTTTGCAGCCGCCCTAAGTCCAGGGCTGGTTCCTGCACGACTGAAATTGCAAAGCAATCCATAAAATCAGGCCAGCTATTATCATAGGCTGCTCGTAGCTGAGAAAGGGAATTATTTTGACCTCAATGAGCTTTTATGTTAACTGTGTTCCTTTTCTCTGGACAGCCTTTAGCACAGGCAAGACAAACTATTTCCCACACTGAAAAAGAAATTCCATGTTGTTTACCGGGGCACTGTTGAGCTAAACATCGCCCTTCCCTTGGAAAAGCTTCCCTGCCTGTTGCTGCTGGCAAACCCCTGGCAGCTGTGGCTGCAGGAGCTCTGCAGGCAGGTCCTGCTGAGCTGTAGGCAGTGCTCTGGGACTCCAGGTTTTACCTCTTTGTCTGGCAAATACCTTGTGTGTCACTGCTGGGTTGTGTGGGTCACTGGGAGCAGGAGGAGCTCCAAATGCCATACGAGGTGATGGCAGTGAGGGCAGCAGTGCAGGCAGGGGTTGAGCACAGGGTTGAGTGCAAGTCCTTGCCTGAACTTTGCACTGTCACTGCCTTTTCAGGGTGGTGTTGGTATGTCCATATTTAAGTGGGGTGGTACTACAAAGAGGTCATGGGAGTTAGGAGATAGTAATAGAGTTGTTACTTCATCTCCTAAGGTGAACTGGAGAATCAGGGGTGCATCCAGTCCCCAAACCAGGGTCTGCCTTCTCTGCTATATCAGATGCTTCTGAGAGCGTGACAAGAAATGTGTCCCCTTCTCCCCCTCCGCCAAGCTGTGCTTTGTGAAGGGGACAGGCACTTTAAAAGCTACAAGGGTCTCTTGGCAATGCACAGAGGGGGTTCTGCATCTGCCCCACGCCTCGGAGTCTAATCTCATTTACAGTTGTCAGCGTGGGCTGCTGGGGGAGATGAAAGGCGGAGGACAAGGCAGGAGAACAGATTAGTCCCGAGCAGAGGGCGCAGGGAGTGCACCTGCCCCTGCCCTGCTACCTTGAGGAGGGGAGCAGCAGCTGGGCATGTGTCATCTGCTGCTCTTTGAGGCTCCCGGCCATGGAGCACACGATTAATGACTCGGGGGGCTGGGCTTTTGTGAGCCATAAAGCCCTGGGATTTAGG